TGAGAGGTTTGGATTAGAGGGTATACTTTTAAAAATTTTACTTTATGCCTTTCAAGTATATGTAGTTACAGGAACTAATTACTAATGGTATATTTTCAAGTCAAAGTCCTGCTGGGCCTACTACAATGAATAGGAAAAAAATCATAATTAGCAGCCTTATCTGTATGCAAACAATGAATGTTCCCAACGACCTTAACGCCACTTACATTCTTTTTTTAAGTGATTAAATTGCTCGCAAACCCCTTTCTCACTAGAAAGTCTAAAAGTGAACTTGAACCAGCCAAATACCATTAACGTCTAATTGTTCCAAATTCCAAACGAACGTAGTCTCAGCTGACATTGTTTTCCAGGCACAGTACATGAAAACACAAAAGGTAGCTGCGCCCATGAAGTTCACAGACCCTCATTTCTGGGTGTGAAGCTTAGATGCGCCGACAGCCCACTGTGTTAGTCTTGGGTCCGTGTCGTCCGGGATGAGCCTGATAGCGGCTTTGACCTGGGAGAGGCCGCGGCTGTGAGCTTCCTGTCTTCCTGTCACAGGGACAGCAGGACACCAGGGCCGTGTGAGAAGGGTCTCACGCCACCTGAACACAGATACGTGTTTTTCTTCTCTGTTGCGTTTTGAAAAGCCATGACCAGGACTCTTTTGTTCTTCCTCCAAGTAAAAAGCATACTTGGCAGCTAAGGCCGTTTTTCAGCCTCTGTTTGACGCTTCCCTTCCGGTTAAAATTATACGAGGCCCCGAGGCACGTCTGGTGATCACGGGCCACTCTCTTGGCTAGACGTGTAGTTTTTATGTGAATAGCATTATTGTTATATGATATAAAACGCAGGGAAAATGGAAGACTGACTACTTCTCTGATTAAAATTTGGCCTACCGAAGAAGCTTTGAGAAGTCAAGCGTCAGAACGTCTGCTTTCAGTCAAGGTGGACTAACAGGGCCCAGATTTACCCTCCCACCCAAAACAGTGAAAACTGGAAAACATACATGAAACATGTGTTAGACGTTAGCCATCAGGCAACGAAGAACAGTGATGCCTGAGAGGGGCACCCGGCGGCGGCCCAGGCTGCGGCCTGCAGAGGGTGTTCCAGCCCCCGGTGTGGGGAGATGGACCCCAGCAGAGCCTTCCACAGTTGAGGAGACGAGAGGGCGGGGCAGGGCTGTCGAGGCTGCTCCAAGCTTAGGGGCGTTACCGCAGAGGAGCGGGTTGCCCAGAACGGGGCTTGGAGACCTGCAGAGGGTTCGTCTTCGGGCTGTGGGTGAGTCCTGACCCACACAGGCATGGGAGGGAGTCCCCTCAAGTTCTAGTAAAGAGCGGTGGTCCTAAAGGATTAAAGGGAGAGATGCTCGGTCCCCACACGAGCCTGACACACGTGGTACATACTTCACAGGGCGTCGGGGAGTGTCCTCGGAAGGGTTTTGCCCTGTGAGTGGGAAAAATTAGCCTCGGCCTAAGTGTTCCCATCACACAAACTCTAAAAGCTAAAAAGACCCAAAAGGATCAAAACTTTCCAAGTGACTTACACTGCATCCCAGAACGAGCATTCATTAAGAACACAGAACATACCCAGCCCTCAGGCAGGCAAAATTCACAATGTCTGACCTCTGATCATGCAAAGAGGCAGGAAATTACAATCCAAATGAGACGAAAAATCAGTCCATGAAAATCAACTAAATACCACACCCATCATGGAGTTAGCAAACGAGGATATTAAAACAGGTATTATAATTACCTCCTACGTGTTCAGGAAGTCAGAGGAGTGAGTTAACACGGTAACAAACAAGCTTCTCGCATTAAAGGCTGCAGTGTCGGGACTGAAACACTCCAGAGCCACAGGAGATTGGATGCCGTGGAAGAGGACACAGCACGAGAAACTAAGGAAAGCAAAACAGAAGAAGTCTGCAGAACTGAGCGTCGGTGGACTGTGGACGGACTTCACGCAGCCTCGTGTGCGTGATTACAGCTGCGGAAGGAGGGGTAGAAACACTGGACGGGATCGTGGCTGCCGTGTTCCACTTTTGCTGAAAACCATAAAGCCACGGATCCTTGAAGCTCAACAAACCCCGAACACAAACGACACGCATGTGAGGGCAGAGGCAGCTGAGGATGGGGGCTCACACGCCCCAGCTCCCACCTCCCGCATGTGACTTAGCCTTCCCCCCCACCCCAACAGATGCTCGTTAGTGTTCTTCCTCCTCCTCTTTGGAAAAAACGAGGAGTGGCCGCTGAGGACCGATGTGCCCTGGTAATTAAGGTCATGACCACGAGCTGCAGCCCTGCAGCCCTGCGGAGGCCACGACGCTTGAAGACCTGTGGTCACAGCCTCCAAAACACAGCAGCTGCTGGAGGATGGGAGATTCTATGGGCGTGTGTGTGTGTGAGGCGGGTGTCTGCAGCTCTGTTTGCAGAAGGGCCCTGTGGCAGATCCCACCGTCAGCAGGGAGGTCGTGTGAGATGCCTGCAGCAGCTCCGTTCTTCAAGAAACGGGCTGAGGCGCCGGTGGCCCCCGTGAGGCGCTTTTCTCCGCTCTTGGAATTTGGACGTGTGAAGCAAAAGACACACGTGTAATCTGGGGCCTGGTTGGTACCACCTGAACAACTCAGGCTCCCAGGCAGAGGCCCCAGTTTCCTGGCAGGAACCAGGACAGGTTGATTCCACCCAAGAGGCTGTGGAGGGCACGGGTGAGAGCTGCATGGGCATCAACGAACACGTAGTCATCTTATCGTTAGTGTAATTTTTTTGGCACAAAGAATTATAAATACAACGTGCTTCACATATGTGATCCCAGGTTAGGTTAGTGATCCAGAGACTGTCTGAGGGACGGATAATCTAAAAATTGAACACGGGAAAGCAGTTCTTCAAGAAGGAAAACACACAATTACAATATTACCAGGAATTCCACTCCCAGGTGTGTACCCCAGAGAACTGCAAACAGGGGCTGGAACAAAAACTCATACGAATGTTCAGAGCAGCGTTACTCACAGTAGCCAAAAGGTGGAAACAGCCCAGATGTCCATCGGCTGATGATGGACACAAAGTGTGGTCCATCCGCACAGTGGGTAGTATCTGGCCACAAGGAACGAAGCTGTGATAAGTGCCGTGATGTGGACGAAACTTGAAATCACTCTGCCCCGCGAAAGAGGCCACGAAGCATCCAGCCCGTAGGAACCCACGCGCAGAATTAACGTGGTTCCCGGGGGCTGGAGACGGGGTGGGGAGGGACGGCTCACAGGCACAGGGTTTCCTTCTGGGGACACAGGTGGTGGCCACACAACACTGTGAAGGTACCCAATGCCCCGAACTGTGCACTTTAAATCGGCTCATTTCACCTTCTGTGAATTTTACCTTAATTGAAAAAACACAGTGGAGCAAGGACTTCTCCCACATCTGGCCCTTTTCTCTCCGCTTCAGCCGCTCCGGTCTTTCTTCTTTCAATTTCTTCTCCGCAAACACATCAACTCAAATGCAGTTTATATATTGCAACGTGGAACGTATTTCTGAAGGAATATGTAATGAGAGTGGCGCAGAGACCCCCTCCTTGCAGTATTGTTGGCTGGGGCCAACAGCAGGGATCCACCGGACCGAAGCAGCTGGGCCCGCGGGTCCCTCCTCGAAGCCAGGGCGGGGCCCACGCATCCCAGGTGGGGGGAGGGAGCAGCCTGTCTGGGTGACAGGATCGGGGGCTGCAGGAAGTCTTCCAACCAGCCGGGGACCCGCCTCCTCAGGTCAGGGGCGCCCTCGGACAGACAGGGGTGCTCCCACGGCGAGCTCTGCTCGGGCTGCACTTGGTCTGACGTTTAGCAGATTTTCTTCACACTGTCCCGTCCTGGGCTGGGGCCGGGCTGGAACCGCAGGCAGCGCGGGAGGGGGAGAGAGGGGAGGTCAGCAGGGCAGCCCCTCGAGGCTGCCCCGCTTGTCCCGTGTCAGCGGCTCTGGGGCCGCACCTGCCCGGTTCCTGCAGGGCCGAGGTCACCCCGGACGTCGCGGGCGGGAAGTGACCCGACGCTCCGGGTCTATACGCTTGAGCGAAACGCAGTAGCTGCCCGCAGGAAACAAGCTGCTGGGCATCTTTCCTTATTATTCAAGAGCAACAGAGAAGAAACAACACTAAGTAAATGTGTATTCGCAGAAGCCCAGCCTCCTCTGCAGAAAGCATCGTTTTATAAATGTGCATTTTTATTTCTGGAATATAAAATGCTGTTGTTGGGAATGGGGGTGGGCTTGTAAAAACTCACGTTGAAACTAACAGCCTCCAGCACACTCTTCAGCGAGGCGGGCGGAGCTCTGCCCTCCTCTGCGCCCCCCAGCCTCCAGGACTCCCTTTGGGGCCCGGCTCTCCAGCCGGACCTGGGGGCTCGAGGGTACCTTGTCCACAACCCCACCAGGCCCTCTGCGTGTGTCCCCGATTCCCCAAGCTCCTGTGGACATTAGCGTTGGGTTCCCTTCAAATGCGTCGACACAGAAACGGCTGGGAGAGTCTGTTGCTAACTGCGTTGATGAGATTCTTCTAGGATTTTACCTCAAGCTGTAAACCTTCTGGCCAGAGAAACAGGAATTCTTGCGGTTTGAAAGTCCTGAATGCAAGATATTGTTTGCATAATTCAGGGCACTCATCCCTAGAGAAGCTCCAGGGGTCACGCTTGCTTTACCAACAACTAGCTGCTATTCTCCCACCCAAGCCTGAGGCAGGGGCTGGGGGTAGGGGCAGGGAGGGTGCTGCAAGAAGTAGAAGGAGACGGCAAAGCCAGGCGGCCACTCGCCTCGTCCCGTACGGCGATGGCGGGTCTCCTGTGAGCGTGGGAGGCCTCGCCAGGCTCCGTCTCTGGGCAGAGATGCTGACGGCCTCCCCGACGTGGAAGGAGGAAAGACACACCCCTCACACTGCTCAGCGGGAAGCCCCTCTTACAGACACAGAAGTACACGGACCTACAGCAGAGAACGCGCTTAAGAACAGAGAAGGATTTTCCACACGTGGGAAGAATCACTCTCAAACTAAGATTGTCCAGCAAAAAAATATTGCTTTATTGAATCGATTTTCTAACTACAAAGAGAGCTAACACAGTATCAAACACTTCCTTTCCATAGGACAGTCTCCCGAGAAATGTCTCATGCAACTCCTAGGAGGCTAAATGCAGGGCAGGGCTTCAGGCGGGAAGGCAGGGTCATATGTACACGAAGCCATATATCTTCAGCTCTTCACAGTAATGTGCAAATGTTACAAATATGGCTTTCAGATTTTCGGTTCTGTGACTTAAAAAAAAGTAAGACATGATCGTACAGAAGAACATTTTTAAAATAATTCTTTCTGTGGGAGAGCGCTTTCCCCACCAAAACGCCGAGTCTGGTGACAGGACTTGTCACCTCCCCCGAGGGTGCCGATTGGGCGGAGTTCCAGGAGGGGCCGTGAGTTCCTAAGGCACAGTCATCAGGTTAAACATGTTTTCGTTAAAACCATGCTTTTTGGTTACATGAAACGACAGGTCACTGCTAGCAATAACGCGTACTAAGCTGTTAAGGGTACAAAATGCAGTAGTAAAGCTCACACTAACCTATCTGGTAACAGTAACTAGTCTGGAAACACACTACAGTCACCACATATTAAACGCTGTTTTTGGTTATCGTTTCCTTAGATGAAGCAGAGTTATAAGGCTTCTGTGAAATAATAATCTTACAGCTGAACAAATATATTACACTCCTTCTGTAACGTTATTTATAGTTTCTTTCCAATTTTGCTGTTTGGTAACAGACGGTATTGTGGACGCACCTCTCCCGGCTTTTAAAGTGCTTGGTTAACTGCAGGAGAGGGAAACACACAGACCTCCCGGGGGGTGGGTGACGCCCCCTCGGAAGTGGCTGGGAAGCTGGGTTTGGAGCCTCAGGTGAATTTTCCAGAATGGATACTGGTTATTGCTGACATGGACGCCCTTGCTGGGCGAAGAGTGAGTATCACCACCTCCGTTATGCTTATACATAAATACACGGCTATAGATGTACACGCATGCAAATTCAAGATCCATCCCGAGACAGATAGATTTCTTTTTTTGTCCAGTAACCTACCTTGTGCTATTCAACTTACCTGTGCTATGTTCGAAGCCAGATTAAAAACAAAATCCTAACATGCTACAATGAACAGCCCTAAGGCTTGAGTAACACAGGGTAGGGAAGGCAGTCATGAAAGAGCTGAGATGACACCTTGGAAGAGTTCTGAAATGCACCAAGTAAGGCAACAGAATTGTATATTACAGCCCAGGAAAAGGTGAAGAAAGTAGGAAACGTGTTAGGTTTTCCTCACCATGCCCGGCTAGCCAGTATTCTCTTAATTTATACATAGGATGAAGCCTCATGACGAAATGTCTTTACAGCTTTTGCTCTTACAGATACTCTCCTGGTAGCCAGTTCAATGCTCAATCCCATGATGCCCGGCTGCTGCGGTCTGCTTAAATAAGGCACTTCCAGTATGAAATGCAGGGGTGCCTGAAGGGTACGCTTGGGGTCAGGCTGCCACGTCGGGTTGCGGTCACGAGGGGCGCATCACACGGTCTGTCTTCTGTGCTTCCCCTACCCACCCACCTTCGTCTCCTTCTTGAGATGACTTTCCTTCAGAAGATGGAGTGGTCTTTTCTTCCTTCCTTGAGCTACTTCTTTGTACGAATGATCTAAGCCTTCACTAAGGTGGAAGTTCCGAGTGGTACCAGGTGTGAGTTCAGTCTGTTGACTCAGTTGTCACCGTCGAATCAACACCACGCAGCTTCTGAGAGTCCCAATTGCCGACTACGAGTGGAGGTTGGTACTGGAGAGGTCGTTTCGTATTATCTCGTTTACTGCAAGAAAACAAAAATAGAGAGCATTAGAGAGACAGGACTCTGCACACGAGCTTACATAAATCACCAGAAATTCCATCAGTCAGTTATGTTCAGCCTGTGAAAAGGTGTCCCCAGAGGATGAGGTGTCCTGAGCCGGCAGGACACAGCTGCCCGGGAGCCGGCACTGTGATTCCAGACACCAGTTAGGCCTCGGCCTCAGGTCCCGACAACTGACCCAGGCGCCGGTGCGCAGCCTGTGCTCCCGCAGGTTTGCGAAAACAAAAGATAAACCCTGCAGCGGAAGCACCCCGGTGAAGTCCTCGCCCCGTGGGCCCCTCTCCGTGGCCTCGTGGTCAGACGGGCCAGGGCAGCTCGGGGAGGAGCGCTGGCCTCCCGGGCCTGGGCCTCCCTTTGTTCGGGGCTCTTCCTTCACGTCTGTCCCGTTGTTCGTGTCCACGATCGGCCTGTGATTTTTGGCAGCCGGAGGGGAAGTGAGAGGAGCTGGCAAAGGCCACGGGAGTGACCTGCACGGCATCTGCCCCCCATCACGGCACCAGATGGGGAAATGCTGCCCAGAGGCTGTCACCACCACTCGCAGGGCTCAGAGGTGGGGACGTGCCTGCGTCATGGAACTGCCTGGGCTCCCTCTACTGCCAGATAAACGTGTGTTTCTGCAGGGCCCCCGCCCAGCCCAGGGCGGCTTCCTGGAGCAATTAGTGGAGTGCGTTTCCCGAGCCCACTCCCTTCCCCAAACTGCCTTTCAACACCCCCCCCCCCAACTATTTTTAAGAATAACAATAATAAGGCCCAGCGGGGGAACCAGGAATTGTGTCACGGGAACTGATAACAGAACGCGCTGGCCCTGGTTCAGTCAGGAGCCCGCCCTGCGGACCCCAGACCCGGGCTCCTCCCGAGGGGCCGCCAGCACGCGGGAAGGGGGCGCCAGGCAGCGGCCTGCAGGGGACACGCCTGACCAACACGGCCGCCTGATGTGCACCACACGTCCTCTGCAGCCGGCCCTGCCTCGCACGGTAAACAGCGGAGGGACTGTGCTCACCCGGCCACCAAGGAGGCCAGGACGAGGCCCAGGGCGCGGGCAGCTCCTGGGTGGTGGGCCGTCTCTGTGCCACTCGGCCGCCCGGGGCATGGGGTGGCGGGACTCGGGCCACCAGGGCCAGAGCTCCTCTCCGTCCACACCTCGAAGAACGTCACCATGAAAGAACATTCTGACAAGAACACTCACAACGTCCCGGTCTCTTGGGGGTTTGGTCTGGGTCAGGACAGGCCGCACCTGCAGGCAGGGTGTCTCTGTCTCAGGCCAAGCGTGTGGAACGTACTAGAAAGATACAGTGTGTGTGTGGGGGGGACCCACACACGAGGTGTGACAGCACTGGCACCACAGAGCCCTGCGCCCTGTATTCACTCAGCAAGCGACAGTTTACAAGGTGCTTTCGTGGCCACCATCGCATTTGTCCTAAAGCAGCCTAGGCCGTGGGCCCAGCTGGGCTTCCTAACCGGTTCTGAGAAAAGCGAAAGGTTTGGGGCCACACATGGGCCAGAGTCCCTCCCACAGGGTGGCAGGTGCTACTGGGAGGGGGGAAGGGAGGCGGCGGGGCCACCTCCACCCAGAAGAGAAATTAGAGTCAAAACCTCAAAGCAGGCCCTGCACGGTGGGAACAGTGGTAAACAAGGTCCCACATGAAGAGGAGGCGTGAAAGTTCAATCGTACCACACAGAACTGGGGAATGCCTTCCCACTAAGGGTTTAGGACGATGAAAGTCCCAGAGCAGAAATCTGATTCTAGTAAGACCAGCAAGAGGGGTAGAAAAATGTCTGAGGGGTAATAATGACAGGAATTGGGCGGGAGGCCTGAGGGGTAATAATGAAGGGGATTAGGAGGGAGGCCTGAGGAGTAATAATGAGGGGGATTGGGAAGGAGGCCTGAGGGGTAATAATGACAGGAATTGGGAGGGAGACCTGAGGAGTAATAATGAGGGGGATTGGGAGGGAGGCCTGAGGGGTAATAATGAAGGGGATTGGGAGGGATGCCTGAGGAGTAATAATGACAGGTATTGGGAGGGAGGCCTGAGGGGTAATAATGAAGGGGATTGGGAGGGATGCCTGAGGAGTAATAATGAGGGGGATTGGGAGGGAGGCCTGAGGGGTAATAATGAAGGGGATTAGGAGGGAGGCCTGAGGGGTAATAATGAGAGGAATTGGGAGGGAGGCCTGAGGGGTAATAATGAAGGGAATTGGGAAGGAGGCCTGAGGGGTAATAATGAAGGGGATTGGGATGGAGGCCTGAGGGGTAATAACGAAGGGGACTGGGAGGAAACCTGAGGGGTAATGATGAAGGGGAGTGGGAGGGAGGCCTGAGGGGTAATAATGACAGGAATTGGGAGGGAGGCCTGAGGGGTAATAATTAAGGGGATTGGAAGGAGGCCTGAGGAGTAATAATGACAGGATTTGGAGGAAGGCCTGAGGGGTAATAATGACAGGAATTGGGAGGGAGACCTGAGGGGTAATAATGAAGGGGAGTGGGAGGGAGGCCTGAGGGGTAATAATGAAGGGGATTGGGAGGGAGGCCTGAGGGGTAATAATGAAGGGAATTGGGAGGAAGGCCTGAGGAGTAATAATGAAAGGGATTAGGAAAGAGGCCTGATGCGTAATAATAACAGGAATTGGGCGGGAGGCCTGAGGGTTAATAATGACAGGAATTGGTGGAAGGCCTGAGGGGTAATGACAGGAATTGGGAGGGAGGCCGTAGGGGTAATGATGAAGGGAATTGGGAAGGAGGCCTGAGGGGTAATAATGAATGGAATTGGGAGGAAGACCTGAGGAGTAATAATGAAGGGAATTGGGAGGGAGGCCTGAGGGGTAATAATGAAGGGATCTGAGAGGGAGGCCTGAGGGGTAATAATGACAGGAATTGGGAATGAGGCCTGAGGGGTAATGATGAAGGGAATTGGGATGGAGGCCTGAGGGGTAATAATGAAGGGATCTGAGAGGGAGGCCTGAGGGGTAATAATGACAGGAATTGGGAACGAGGCCTGAGGGGTAATGATGAAGGGAATTGGGAAGGAGTCCTGAGGAGTAATAATGAAGGGAATTGGGAGGGAGTCCTGAGGGGTAATAATGACAGGTATTGGGAGGGAGGCCTGAGGGGTAATGATGAAGGGGATTGGGCGGGAGGCCTGAGGAGTAATAATGAGGGGAATTGGGAGGGAGGCCTGAGGGGTAGTAAGGCAGCAGCAGAGTAGCTGAGAATCTTTTAGTTACTCAGGGTTATGCAGACCACAGGAAAAATAACATCTGTCTGACAAGAGAAAAGGGGAAGGAGCCTCAGAAGTGGGCTTCCCCCTACTACCCACTGGGGCACCTGAACCTCAGAGGGGGCGCCATTGCTCGATGTGTGCTGGACATTCTGGGCCCAGACGCAGGCCATGGCGTGGCTACTCTCTGAGTGAGGCTCGGCCCTGTCCTCCTTTGGCCCCGTCGGGAGCCCTCAGGACAGCGGCACGGGATGCGCCAGGGCAGCCGAAGCTCTTGCCCATCACGGCGGGTCAGTGGTATCTGACGAGCCTCCCTGAGGACAACCTGTCAGCTGGACCCACTGCTGTCCACACCTGGCAAGGTCAGGCTGGAGTCACAGGGTTTCATTCCTTTTAGGAACAGACTCAAGAACCACCCCACACGCACAAACATCCTCCAGCATCTTCCCTGAGCGCCGCGGGGCCTGAGCCGGGCAGCTGCCCAAAGTGAAGCTGGACGGCCAGGAGCCCCACGGCAGATGACGCTTCACACAGCGTCCACACGGCTGAGGGTGGACGCCCAGACCTCACTCTCTTCCAGAGACACAATCTGGACAGGAATCCTGTAGGGAAGCCATGACGGTCCCATTTCACAGATGGATAAAGAAAGACCACATCAGGGAAGGGCTGCTGAGGTGGAGGGGCCTTTGACGGTGGGCGAGGGCGCGAAGCACAGGGTCCTGGGGCCCCGCCGCCTCCCAGCCACATCCTATCTTCCCTCCGTGAGGTCATGGGTCCGAGCCCGTATCAGTCCCGGCCGCGGGGCTCTGTGTGGGTTATTTTGGGGGTGGCTTTCTCTCTTTGATATGGTTGTGCCGATGACACCTACGATTTCCCACGATGTCTTCTCTCTACTGATAATTTCCATCTTCTTATTCAGCTTTTCCACCGACACAGAGGTTTTTTTATCTTTACAGAAGTATTTTGAACTGCAGGTAACATGTGACCCTCACGGATCGTCAGGAACCTGAAAGAGGAACCTTTGCTCCGCTTCACGTCAGATGTCCTTGCAACAGGATGTGGTGAGCTGTTATACCACAATTTAATAAGAAGGGTTTTTTCCCTTATATTTAATTTTTCTCTAAAATGCTCCTAAGGTGGAAACTCTTGTTTTTTTTCTAAAACTCATGTGGCAGTTTGAATTGTTGTTTCAATCTGGGGTATGTACGCAGGGTGTTCTGTGTGTATCTGATACACACACACAAATCCACCTCTCTATATAAATCTGGAATTGAGAGAAAAGGAAGTCAGCATTTTTTAAAATACCAAAACTAACATGTACAAAGTACAGGCATAGCTTTTCACCTGTACTTGCATGACATTTGTAAATATCCTTCCTGACACTATAGAAAGATGTCTCTGCTATTCGTAAATGAGCATGTAAATTAACTAATAAGGTGAAACGTCCTTTTTAAAGTAAAATATTTGTACTTTCATATCTGAGTTTCTTCTTTTGAGCCCCCCTTTGAGAACAGTTGGCGTCAGAGCTTCACGTTGTAGTGAAACATCCACGGTTCATCTCTCAGGTTTCACGTGTGGGTTTTGTGTGACTGTCTTGAGAACAGTGCAAACCTAAAAGGAACTGTGAGTCCAAACAGTTTTTATGTATTTCTCCCCTCTCGACGCCTAACCTTTAAGCAAAGTGCTCCCACGTTTCTGAGTGCTTGGTTTCTGAATGCTAAACTAAGGATCTCAAGACATATCTTA